CTTCACTAAGATTTTTGAAGGCATCTGGTAACTTTCCAGGGTCTATATTTTTAAATGCACCTGCAAAATTTGTTATTCCTAGAAAGACTTGTAGGAATTCCTTCCATGGACTTTTATTATTTGATATACAAATTAAAGCTTGACAGGCATATTTTGCATGATAAACTAGTTCTTGATTACTATCACTTTGTAATTTTTTAAAAGTATCATATAAGGGTTTGTATAATTCTTCATACTCAAGATCTTGTACCTTACAATCTGCCATTACATCAAATAGTCGCCCCAATGTTTGAGTCATTTCAATCTGTCGATTCTTATCTTGGGCACGAAGATTTTTAAATTTTTTGTTTAATACCTCTAAAATGCAAACCAAATCATCAGGCTCTCGGTGTTTAGGATTTGCTTGACGGATAATATGAGATAAACCTTCCAATAATGGAGGATGTAATAAATTTGATTCTTTAATTTTAGTAACAAAGGTCTCCATTAAATTTCTATAAAGTTCTTTCTCTGAATCTGGTAAATGTGATAACACCATTACTTCGTGCACCAATGTTGAATCTATAATTTTGATTTCAGCAAATCTATTGATTATATTTCGTGCTAATGTGTATAATCTCTCCTTTTGTTTTGACGATACATCTTTTTGGAGTAGCTCGCAAGCCAATTGTCGAGTATCATTGGGTTCAGAATCTTCATCTAGAGGTAGATGTATTTTTTCTGGAAAATGATTTTTCTTAAAAAATTTATTTTCAATAATTTCGGATATAGATAGCTCTTTTAAGATCACTTCATATTCTTCATGTGCCTGTGTTAGGATTTCCTTGATCTCACTAGATGTAGGATGATTCTTATGAGCTATTTCGAGGTTATTAATGGCTTCATCATACGACAAAGCAGAAGATGCGAGGTTTCGACTTTTTTGGTCACGCGCTTCATTTAAATATTTTTTACCTCTTCCAAAATGGGTTAGATTGGCAGTTATTGGATTTTTTGCAAATGTTTTATAGACCTTTTCCATCATGTCACCCATTTCTCGAACTCATAAAGACTTTAATTTAATCTTTCCAGATAAGCAACTACGAATTATAGGTCAAATTAATTAATTGATTTCTTAAAACCAAATTTTGAAAATTATTGCAAAAAATTTTTTAAATATTTAATAATCGGATGAGCTTTTAAAAAATTTTTTATAAATAGTTATATATAAAATAAAAAAACCCCTGTCTATTCAAAAAGTTTCATGTTGCAAGTACCAATAAATTAAATTTATGTAGCCTTATAATTATAATCTGCAGTCAAACCTACCTGAATGTTTAGGATTGGTGGACCATTTACAATTTGATTGTTTTTCGTTCATTGTGCGACGCTTAAAGACTACACAAACACTAAAGTCAAATTGCTTTTATCTAAATATGGAATCTTGTCATTTATCACTACTCGCAGTATTGTATCTTATTCAGGATCACAAACGACAATTAACGTCCGCAGTATTTCAGAATCGAAAATGACAATTTCACGTACACATGGTGATGAAAAATTCGAACTGCTTAGAATTAGGTTTTGAATTAGGTGATTAGCATATAAAATTTGTATTTAATATTTATATAAATTGTATTTAATATTGATATTAATTTTACATAAAAATAATTTAATCTACTTTAGCTGTTTCTCAAAAGTGACTAAGGTAATCACCGTTGATTCATTATGACTCAATGCTCAGCACGCTTGAAAACCTTCCCCAAACCCCTAAGTTAAACTTTAAAATCTAATCCTAGCTTTTAAGATTTAATCAGATAATTTCTTTACTGAAACTTGTGAATTTGCAACTATATAGTAACTATATAGTAGCTATATATTTACTATAATATATAATAAAT